ATTTCAAGCCCCATGTCCTCGACTACAGCTGCGTCAGTGGGCAGGATGAGTACAGAGACAGTCAGCCAAAGGCGAGACAGGCTACAGTCTTCCTGTACAGGAAGGAACTCTTCGTAAAGGCTGAGGATGAAGCAACATTTTAATTATAGCAGAACAGGTATCACCTCCCTGTAGAGTTGCCCAATGCAACCAATTATTTGGAAGCTAGCCCAATAACACCATGTTCCTAGCCAGGTTTTTCAAAGACACCTGTACACCCAACTGATGGAGCTTGCATTCCATCTCCAGAAGAGCAAGGGCATGCAGCACCGCAAGAGCGGGAACCTCTGCAGCAGCTGACAGCGCAGTATGACCAGCCATCTCGCTCCAGACCACAAACGAGAAACTACACCTCAGGATTTAGGGTCTTGCCCAAATATTTCTCACTAGAGTTTGGGATACTTTTGTTCTCTCTGTAATTTCTTTCCTAGGTTGCTCACTCGTGTTGGTGGCTTCTTAATGTGGTGTCTCAGAGGAAGTCTTCCTACCAATTCTTTTTTCATTTCCCCAGCCTCTAATTCCATTGAACATCTTCCTTGCTAGCAGCTGATGGAGGACAGTAAACACTGACAGCCCCTCCCCTTTGGGCCACAACTTGTCCTACGTCTACTGCTCTTCCTCTTTCTCGCCCTCAAGAACGCACAGTTCCTCCATGTGGTGACGACAACTTCCAGCCCCGTGGTGGAGTCAGCTCTGATCTGCTCCAGGACTGTTCACAAAGGCCGACACTTTGTATGTGCAGATCGTACAGGTAATGTCTTTTGACATTCCATCCCACTACCACAACCTTCTCTCCCATTATTTGCCACCCCAATATCATATTTGCTTTCATCTACAGCTGCACAGCAGTGTGTTTTCAATGAGCTGGAAACGGTCTTTTCCTGTGGTGTTACTTCACAGCACAGACAGAAAAGCAGTTCTTTTTTTTCTCTAAAGCAAGCTATTATTGTCTTCTGCACAGCACAAGGAGTTAGCAACACCAGAACAGTCCACAGCGAGTACCTCATTTTTTTCTGTTTTTGACTAACAAGGAGACACCGGCTCTCCTACTTTATACATTCCCCAGTAAATCACTTTCCTCATCGCCTTAGCCAATTCAGCTTTGTAGTGTCCACTTGCACACAGCTTCTTTTAGACTTGTTACAACAAAAACTTTGAACAGCCAGTCTTCCCTGTACCACTCTTTTAAGACTGCTTTGAAGAATTTCAGAGATTAGCCAGAGACTGCTGCTCGAATCCTGTCACGATCCCCTCCAAGCGCTTTGCTGTTCCATCAGGTCTGATGTGGGCTGCACATCTGCCTCAGCTCCCCAGACTGCTCTGCAGCCCTTCGCAACATGCCCAAACGGTACTTTCCCATCCCCTGGTACATTGGTAGTTTTCAGCAAAAATTTACAATTTTTTCTAGAAGCTCAGTTTGCACGGCACTCTGACAATCATCTGGAAGTGATGCTCTCTGACATCTCAAGTCACTGCTGTGTTTTCTTTTTCCTTTTCCAGCAGGTGCTGCACTACCAAAAAGCAAGTCCCAGGCTGGTGTACGCCAGACAGCCAACCCTCTGCAGGCTGAAGTCCAACGTATGCAAAGAATCTCTCTTGCACAGCTTTGGCTATTCACTCTTTATCCTCCATTTTGAACCTCTAATTAACAAAACACATCCCAAAGGGAATTCAATGCTATTATTTACTAGTGTTGTGAAGATCAGAATGTCACTTTTTAGAAAGTCCTGTGTGGTTTAAAGGGCTTTTTTCCCCTTGTCATCTTGGCTACTTTTGTTCAGTAGCCTGAGCATCCCCGAACGCTGGGCTACCCTGGAAGCACCCTGGTCTTCTCTGGAAATACAGTATCCACATTTTTGTCTTTTTAGCTAACCCCTCAACTAGCTGAGATTTCATTATCCCAAATTTAACATCACTTTTTGGCACTCTACTTGCTCCACACACATTACACTCACTTACTAGGGGAGCGACCTCTATAGTTTAAGTGGCTGCTGTGTGTTACCGACAGCTGCCCAAAACAGCCTTTCCCCTTGCAGAGTGTAGAATAAGCTGCTCCATTAAGAAAACATTAAGGACCCGTTTCTCCAACATGTTGGGCTCCATTTGACAAGCCCGTGACTGGTCCGAGTCACTTCCCCAAACTGTTTAGCCAGGTTTTGCTACAGACTGTTCCAACTACAGTGTGTTAATTTCCCACCTCTCCATCTGGGGAACAATTTACATCTCGGCTGCATGGAGTCTGTTCACAGAACACGGGTGCAAGGTCTTCGACCACCCAGCAGTTACCCTCCACAGATTTTTTTTGTGCCCAGACAGAGTGACTGCTCCTTCACCAACAGCACCATCAGCTCCCTTTTGCTTCCCAATTAGCGGTGAAATACCAACTCTAACTTGAGGGGAAGAGTCCCAGGGAGATCCTTCAGCGCTCACCCCAGTGCCCTGGCATCTGTTCCGCATGCACCGGAGCAGTCCCCTCCAAGCACACCACGGGTACTCACATCATCTTGACTCCTTCCCTGTCCTCATGGTTAATCTCTGCCAACACTGCACTCATGTCAAGGTTTTTGGTCATTTCTTCTAAAGCATTTTCAGGAATCATATCTATTAAAAAAAAAAAAAAAAAAAAAAGGTGAAGACAACTGCAATTCCTTTCCAATCTAAGAAAAGCAGTAAAGACCACAGAGGCTCTTGGCTGTTAATCTCCCGTGCCACCCGGCGTAGGCAGGGCACCACAGTCCTCCAGGCTCTGCAGTGACGGCAGCTCTGTTTCACAAGGCCCTGGTCCCTGCCTGCTAAGGGCAGCACGGAGGTCTTGGTTTCCAGGATGCCAGCGGTGCTGACGGCTTGGGGAAGCTTTGCAGAATGCGAGATGGGACTCCATACTCACGCTGATGTCCAACGATACAGTGAGCAGCGAGTAGCTTTAGTGATGGCACCTCGAACAACGCCTGATGAAAAAGGAGCTCCCGGGCAGTAGGACGCTTGCCAGGGTCCTGTTCTAGACACTTCTGAATGAACTCCTGAAAGACAAAAATTGCATGAGACCATGTGCAATGCCAACACATCTGCAGGGGCGCTGATCCTTTCTCACCCACCCTCTGCAAGGGGTCCTCCAGCAGCTGGATGGCACTGTTAATGGCCTCCTGGGGCACATAAGACGACTCTCCGTTACCCTGTATTTCCAGCACCGCCATCTGCAAACACAAAGCAGTGCGTCAGACTTCAACGGGAATTACTGACTGCATTGAACACAGCTCAAGGAGACCACTGCCAAGCATGAGATCATAACAGCCAAGTTGTTTGGTGCTATTTAAGGTCACAGTTTGTGGAGGCAGAGAGAGAACGACTGCCTCATTATAACAGCTTGTTTCTAGCACCCTAACAGATTGCCAGGGAGACCCGAAAACTGTGCCAGCATCACCTTAGACAATAAGCATCTCCATTTTGAACGTCATGATCCATTGGCCTGTACTTCTGCTTGACAATTCTCATCCTCTAATGAAGCAGTAACTGGATCACTGCCACAATCTGACCATGTCCCTCCTGGCTGTATGAATAGCTCTGTATTACAGGCAGAAAAGCAAGCACACAACGCCATCCAGAACTGGCTCCAGCCAACACATACCCAAATTCCCAGCTAGGAAAGGCTGGCAAAAAGATTCTGGAGAACATCTTAAGATTCAGCTCAAGTTTTGCTTCCTACAAGTTGTGTGTTTCCACAGTGCTCTTCCTGCTTCACTTATGGGATGTGCGGAACAGGTTCAGAGTTCTTTGTGTTGGCTCTTTCTGACAATTATTCCCAGAAACTACTCCTACTAACAACCCCCATTTCCTAGATTTGGGCCTCCTGATGGCAAGGACAGAGGAACCACTAAGCTGCTGAGATCAGGTATGTCAGACTCGTGCCTGACTGCAACCAGCACCTGTATCAGGTGGGGACAGGCTGGCCCAGAAAAGTTATGGACCACATCTGTCCTCTCCTCCAGGTACCACAGGAAGAACAGGTACTCCCAGAAAGGCAGTTCTGTTCTCCACGTACGTTAAGTACAGTTTGTGGCAGTGACTGTTCCCACCTGCCAGTGGGTCAGACTTCAGAACTGGCCAAGGCCTGCAGAGTGATGAATTACATGTTAGGAATTTCACAAAGAACTACACACTACTGAGCTATTTACTTCTTAGTAAGGCATTTGGGGGAGCCTCGATAGGGATCCCACCAAGGCAAAGTGCATTTGGCTCTGGGAACAAAACACACTTGCTACCACACTAACCCACCCATAACCACAGCATCTGCGCAGAGCCATCTCCTTCCCTCAAATTCATTTTCCCTCTGTCCCACAGCCAAAGTGTTCCACACTCACCTCTAGTGCACACATCCCAAAGGAGTAAATGTCCACAGCAGTGGTGACATTGGCAACTTCTGTAACACAGAAATAACGCTGTTATCAGTTCATCCCTGCACTCAGCAGTACCAGCAGGACCACCTCTGTATCAGGCTACGATAATCCTGCAGCCTTCTCTCCCTCCTCTGCTATCAAAAGACAGAGGAGTTAAAGCATTTAAGCAGGCAAATAACTCAAAACTGTTAACATGACATCTGTCATGAGCCTGTAGACAAGACGCAGAGCAGCTTGGAAGCATTAGAAAGGCCAACAAACCCAGGCTGGCAGCTGTAGCCACACCATACCTCCATATTCCGGGGCAAAGAAGTGCAGGTTCTTCTGCTCCTCACGACAGGTCTTCACGTGGTTGTTAATTGTGTCCGGTGCCACTAGAAGAAAGTCATGAATGCTTAGGATACAGGAAACCATAGCCCATCCCCGACTAGATCCTAGGGAACACATGCAACTCCAGGGCCCTCTGGTGCCCAAAGGGGCAGCACAGTGGAGTTCAGTTGATCCTTCATCAGTCCCTTATCTCAGGTCACCTGCCCTGACAGCCTTCTCCCTTCTTGCCTCGGCTGTGGATCGACTAAGGCAGCTCAGCATTACTCTCCAAGAGCAAACCTGGAGACCACAGCTTCTCCCGAATGGGGAAGACAAGCTGGGAAGGACTCCCTGTTGAAGTGCGAGTCCTGAAAGCACCTAAGTTAAATCAGATCCATTGCATTTGTCACAAGTAACGCAACTGCAACAGAAGCCCTAGGAACAGCCAGAGATGTCAGGATCACTGCAATCAGTCACCACCTCAGGGCTCTAGGAGAGGGACAGAACTACAAGGCAACTCTTCCCCATATCAGCAGCGCGCTGGTGCCAAAGTGCCTCAAGACAACGGTCAAGCAAAGATGCTGAATGAGGAGAGATGACAACCTTGGCAGCAGAGGCCTCCCGGCAGCCACCACCTCCACAGCAACAACCACAAACCTCTCAGAGCTACAGGGAGGGAATAACTCCCAGTCACAAGAACGAGCAGAACACAAGCATGGACTCCCCCCAGAAGATGAGCTTTCAGGACAGCCACCTCTGAAAAGACTGCAAACAACTCTCCAAAACGAAGCAGCTGGCTCCACCAGGGAGAAACGCTGAGGTAGGCGGGGACCACACCGTCACCGTCCCATCTGAAGCTCTACTTCCACACTTGAACATGCCCAGTCCCACAGTTCCAGGCCCACCTCCCACTTTGTCACCCTCCTGGACAACTGCAATGGGTCCTGCTCTGTACTGCCACAATGTGGACTTACACGGGACACACCAAACCACCGGGACTTTTCCAGGTGTTCCTGGATTAGGGCAGGACACACCAAAGAGGTTTCCCAGTTGAATGAGACTGAAATAGTTCCCAGTCTCAGAGGTGAGACATTCTTTGCGCTCTAGTCAGACAAGAAGGATACTCCTTGGTAACTCAGGTCAACCATGCTGTGTGGCACACCCCAAATCATATTACCTTATTCGAGCAGTGGAAACTGAGCTTGCTCCAATGGCCAGCGTCTACTTTCCCAACCAACCACTCATGAGCAGTTTACTGCTTTTTGTTCTTGTGGTAGCTTTTATCTTGGGAGTCCAGTAAGGTTACTTCATTCCTAGTGCTCACCTGTTTACAGACACCACCAGCTCCTCTCAGCTTCACAGCGCTGAGCAAACTACACTAAATTCTTTGTCTTTCTCCTGAGACCTGCTCTGCATTTTCCCAGTGACACTGAGAGCTTTAGATGAGCTCCAGCCAGGGCCATACACAATCACACCAATTCTGTCTACCGGAGACTTTGCCCCAATGGATCTTAACATTGCACACAAGGCAAGCGGGTCAAATCCCCCCCTTGAACAGCTAGTAGACACCCGATCCTCCTCAGTTCCCAAATGATGAGCTCTAGACTTTTGTGCGGCTTTGTATTTTGCACTATTGAGTTACTTACAACTGGAATTTGTCCAGTCCTCTAATGTCTTCCTGTGCTTCTGGAGGATATCCTGACCTACCTCAACATCACACATTCCCCACATTTCTATTAACAGCCCCAACATTCACGAGATCAGTCCCCGAGGGACTCCAAACCCCTCCAGTGGGGCAGCCCTTTTTCGGCTTCACCCTGTCACTGTGCCTCCAGCCAGTGCCCGACTCGGCACATGGGGTAAATTGCCCAAGGTTTGTCCAGCACAACAGGTTCTCATACTGGGCCTTCTAAAGAGGTTGTTAACTTGCTTTTGTCTATACCAGTATCTGCCTTAAGTAGCCCACTGTGTATGTCTAGTCTATAGGTGGCTACTAAGAGAGGAGAGGCCACGTCAGGTCTTTCCAGCTGCTGGATTTCCTCATCATTGCTGCTCTTTCCTTTCTGTAGGCGTTTTGGCCAAAGAATCAAGGTTTAACAGTACTGCCCCCTCCCTGCCCCAAGTAATTTACTCTTTTCTACTCAAAAGAACAATTCACTACTGTAAACCCAAACAATTTAATACTGTCAAATGAGGTTTTGCCTTCTTAAAAACAACCAACCAAAAAAACCCCAAAAAACCAACAAGAACAAAAACAAACCACCACATAAACACCCGCCAGGGGCCCCCCCCCCCCCCAACACATTGCCACTCATGACTTTCAGAACTTCTGCTGGAGGCTCGCAGGAACTAAAAATAATTTCACATCTATAGCATACCACTGGTGGGCGTGAGGGGTGGAGATAAGGACAGCGACAGCCCCCATGAAGGGCCAGAGGCTGATCGCATCCAGAAATGCAATATTGCTGCAGATGCACAGCCACGTGAATACCGTGAAGTTTTTGATCAGGAACAAATTTTTCCTCAGAGTGACCAATACCATTAAGATTTTGGCATTCCCCTGAGGCCTAGGCTGTAACGTAACCATAGGATCTCGCTGATCCCAAACATGTTTGCCCCCTGTCTACAAGAACAACTACTTTGTCCCAGTTTTTGCAGAACAGGGCATTTAAGACATCAGAAACCCTTGTGCTGTGAAGTCTGAATTTTATTCTTCTTTTATGGAATACTGGATGTCTTTGTGCAGCACGCAGTATACATGAACTATCAAAGAGGTGTTTTTGTGAACCCTGCTAAGCCTATCATCTATTGCATGCATGACAGCCTCTGACTACCGAGAACTAACTTGACTGTCTGAGGATATAAAATAAGACTTATAAGACTTCTATTTGTTCTGCCTTTCTTATCAGTACGATGGATGGTAAGAGTAAACAGGAACCCAAACCCTATCCTCAGTGATGCAGTTCTGTGCAGTCAGAGGTCCAGCAACTGCCACCAGGATCCTGCATGTATCGGAGCGGCTGCCGGGACAGCACCGCCATGCCACCGTGCCCAGAGCCCTGGGGACAGGCGGAGGCACCACGGCGCGCCCTGGGAGAGACACACTGTGTCAATGGCGACAGCGCTGCAGAAATTCAGCACATCTCATCAGGTGTTGGACCAACGTCCTCAGGCAGGAACTCTGGCACGGTACTACCCAGGACAACACTATCCTGCCAAACACGGAGCAGAATCAGCCAGGTATAAAGTCATCTTCCAAACGATGTTTAGATTAGCTTCGTTTTCCAACATGTCTTTAAATACTGTTACTACTCCGTGTTGGATGGCAAGGGTCAGTTCACTATCCAGCCACTCTGTCCTTTGCTCCTGTTTAAGAACAGGGAAGAGGCAGTAATCAATCACAAAAAGGCATTATCTACAGAAACCTTGGCCAGTGATGTAACACCGGCACTCCCATACCAGAAAGGAGAGTACAATGCAGTCCTAGCCCGACCTCTACCTATAATGGCCTTCCGTGCCTCATTAAGGACTTGATAAGGACACAGAGAGTGTCCAGGTCCTACAGACATTCTGCAGTGGCACCAGCGTTTCTGGGAAGAGCTGGGCTTGCACTGTCCGTGGGAACTTCCAACTCGGACACACAGAGAGGCAGTTTGGACTCTGCTGTTCCAGGTCATCCAGGGACCTGTCCACTCTGATATTCTGGTCCTTGTGCCCCCAAACTCGCAGAGCCCCACTGGAATTCCTCAGTATGTTTTTTCTGTCACTGTTGCATAGACTGGCTATGCAGCTGAGTTTGATTAGCCACGCTTGGCAAGCCTTTTTCCTGTTCCAGCAGTTTACATCACAGCTCACGTGCAGCTTGTCTAGAGGTCACACATGTAACCTTGCTCTGTTATTGCAAAGCTGAAGCCACGCAACAGCAGAGCAATGGCATAAGACTACCAGATTCTTCGCTGTGTGCCTTGGAGCTAAGCAGAGACGGCCTTGACAGACACACATCTGTTCCACTCTTCACTGCAATGGCAACTACCTGCTATTGAAGCCAACTCTGAAAAACCCACTGCTGGCACGTTAAGTGAGGCAGGGAGAAGTGCTGTTACACCGTGTGACTGTATTTCAGAAGCTGGGGCAAGAAACTTCGGGTTTGGTCTGGTCTAGTCATTATTGTAGGTTCATTACATTGGTGTGTAAGCCACTTAGCACAGATAGACGCCAGAGAGAAGCTTCGCCTGAACATACATTTTAAAACATATTGTTAACTGTAAGAGATAAGAATACACACTTTAAGGTACCTCTGACACAAGCTCTTCTGCACATGGTTGCTACCTGCCATCTGCTGCTCTAGTGATGACTCTTAGTTCTGTGGACAATCAGATGCATGAAGACTAAGGACAGTTATGTTAAGCACAACAAAAAATGAAGGTCAAAAAGGAAAGACAGATCACCAACATTAACAACAAACAAGCCTTTCTCAGCCACAGAGAAGACGACAGCAAGGGGCAGACTACAAGACACAGTACCACATGACTGATCAGTGTGGTACAGAATTAGCAAAGAAAGACGGATTTTAGAAAAGGATTCAGCCAGATACGGTGTCCATGCAGAGCAGATGATAGGAAGAGACATGATGTACAGTAGAAGGTAGGACAAGCAACTTGCCTTTGGCAAGTTGAACTCAATCTGACAATAAAAACATAAAGAGAAATAACCAGCATTACTACAGGAACATGCAGAGCTTGCTAGACGTCTCAAACCCTCAAGGACACGCTAGGGCACAGAGCTCACCGGGGTAAACACAGCTCGTCAAAGCGCCCATCAGTCAGCAGGAGTGTCTGCCAAGAACGCACTGGGTGGTTTTACTTCCCAACGGCCGCCAGTGGCGGGTTTTAGCAGAGAAGCCCAATCACACAGCAACTTGCCCTTTTAAATACTACATGCTTGCAGGAGACATTTTCCTCTTGTCCTGTGTCCAATTCACACCCACCTTTGTTCTGCATTCAGCACCTCCTCCTTGTGGGTAGGAAAGAGTCTGCCCGACAGTCCTGCCCTTCCTCAAGGAGCC